GTGCGCCACACTGCCGGCCCCAGCCTGGCCGCTGAGGGGTTTGCCCTCGCACTGCCCCGTCCAGACGCAGCGGGTCCGGCTCATGTCCTCCCTCGATACAAGCGGAATCCTGCCTTTAGCTCGGGCGAGCCCAGAGAAATGACTTCGATTTTGCATGAGGGGCTGGGGTGGGGACGAGGAGCGCAACGCGTACCTTCAGACAGGAGATGAACCTAAGACCTGTCTTTTACCGAATTGTCCCGTGCAAAGGAAGTTCTGCTTCTTGACTAATACATGAGCTGGTGAATGACTAAGTGTAGGACTTCTTCCATACCTGCTATAATTGCCTTTTTCTCGTGTGTCTTTCTAGGGTGGATTCGCCAAGTGCTATGAGATGACAGATTTGACAACAAATAAAGTTTATGCTGCAAAAATCATTCCTCACAGCAGAGTAGCAAAACCTCATCAAAGGGAAAAGGTGTGTGTGCATGAATGATTTTTTTTTCCTATTTTTTCTTTTTTTTTTTCTTCTTTTTTTTTCTTTTTCTCTTTACCTTCTCCAGCTCTCTTTGTGTGCTGGATTGCCCAGCCCTTTTCCTGAAATGGTTCTGATACACTTGTCTGCTCAACCTTGTGGACACCAGGCTAATAACACTTTCTCTCTCCCTCTTGTCTCTTCAGATTGATAAAGAGATTGAGCTGCACAGAATGCTTAATCATAGACATGTTGTGCAGTTTTACCACTACTTTGAAGACAGAGAGAATATTTACATTCTTCTGGAGTACTGCAGTAGAAGGGTGAGCATCAACTGGGAGAAATCCAGTATTTACTTACCTGGCATCTGCAACTGATTTAAATGTGTGATGTGTAAAAGGTATTTTTTCGTGGCTTCTTTAGCCCTTGTTTCTCCATGTGTTGATTTATATTTGCTTAAGGCAAATTTTGTGTGTGAATGTTAGTGACGTTTCTTTGTTTTTCTTCTGCAGTCAATGGCTCACATCTTAAAAGCGAGGAAGGTATTGACAGAACCAGAAGTACGATACTACCTCAGGCAAATTGTGTCAGGGCTAAAGTATCTTCATGAACAGGAAATCTTGCACAGGGATCTTAAACTAGGTAAGTTCTGCACCTTGACACCTACAAAATACACTCCTCTAGCCCTATTGACATTGTACCACTTTACACTTGTATGGTGATAGCTTAATTAATAGAATCAGCTCAGTCTGTCTTTAGAATGGAAATTTGGAGTGCTTAAAGGGTGACATTAAGCATTCATACTTTAAAAAAAAAAAAAAATCTCAGCTAGCTTCTGGCTTTGAACAAAGTATGACTCAGCACCTGTGGCAAATGCATTCCTACCTTGCAAGAAAAGGACTAACTGGAATTTGTCTGTCTGCTAGGCAACTTCTTCATTAATGAGAACATGGAACTGAAACTGGGTGACTTTGGCTTGGCAGCTAGGCTGGAACCACTGGAGCACAGGAGGAGGTAGGAGCATCAAAAAGTGTAAAGTCTAGTAGTAAATGAAACCAAATTCATTTAGAAATGAGAAATCCCATTCCACAGCAAAAGCTATTTGCTTCTGGGATCAAGGTTTCCCCTTCTAGAAAACAGGCTGCTGTACTTTGACTTCTGCTTTCCTCTGAGCATTTGAATAATAGTAAATGCCAGAGGCAGTTTACCTGACTGACAAATAGTGCAGACACAAGTCTGCTGTTCCTGTATCATGAAGACACCACGAAACACGTCTACGCTATTAACTTTCATACACCTCCTTTTTGGGAGTCTCCAAGTTCTTGTCTGAACTTGAGAGGAAAAACTGCTCTATGAAAAATAGCTTCTCTCCTCTTTCTATCTGAAATACTAACCAGCTCTGTGGCCTCTTTGATTTGCAGAACAATATGTGGCACACCAAATTACCTCTCCCCAGAAGTCCTCAACAAACAAGGGCATGGCTGTGAATCTGACATCTGGGCCTTAGGCTGTGTAATGTAAGTACTTCTCTGCCTTTGAAATGAAATATTTCTGTCATGAGCTTGGGCTTCTCAGAGTTCAAAGAGGATGCAGTACTGCATCAGTTGGCAGCATTTGTTACATGCTCGAGTGCAGAGATTCTCCAAGACAGACAAAGCTTTTTCAGTAGTTGCAGATAAGTATTGTGTATATGTAAAATAAAATTGGTTTCCTTTGCTTTTCAATAGGTATACAATGCTCTTGGGAAGACCCCCATTTGAGACGACAAATCTTAAAGAAACATACAGATGTATAAGGGAAGCAAGATACAGCCTGCCTTCATCTCTCTTGGCACCTGCAAAACATTTAATAGCTAGCATGTTGTCAAAAAATCCTGAAGATCGGCCCAGCTTAGATGAAATAATTCGACATGAATTTTTCTTACAGGTTTGTGCTCTTTAATGTTCTGGCTGAAAAAAATATTCACCCCAAAAATGCACTCTGTCATCTAAAAAAAATATTTTTTCGTATATCTTTTTCACAGGGCTTTACACCTGATAGACTTTCTGCTAGCTGTTGTCACACTGTTCCTGATTTCCATTTGTCAAGTCCTGCTAAAAATTTCTTCAAAAAAGCAGCTGCTGCTCTCTTTGGTGGTAAAAAAGATAAAGCCAGATACCTCGATACACATAGTAAGTGGATTGTAGCTGTGCTTGAAACTTACCTTTATGCCATTGTTATCATGCTAGTAATGTACAGCTGTGACATAGCAATGGAGCACTTGTATTTCTCAGAGCTTCCCTGGGTTAGTTTCAACATCTTTATCGATAAGTATAGATGGTAGCCTGCAACCTACATCAACTTACATAAGTAAATGCTTCTTTTGGCATATCAACCATCTGTTAGTCTATAATGCCTTTTAAAGTGTAATCTTTTAACAATCTGTATATAATGGCACTGCTGTTCTGGGAAACTATAGCAGGTTTGGAAAAAGCTACTGAAGGGAGATGATGGACTTCTGCAACTAACTTGTTAGGCTTTCTGTAATTGAGCAGCACTTCCAGATGCAGCATTAAGTTTTTCTTTTTCATGTGTTACAGACAGACTAGCTAAAGAAGATGAAGAAATCTACAAGCTCAGACATGATTTGAAGAAGACATCGATAACCCAGCAGCCCCACAAACACAGAACAGACGAGGTAAATGCAAGCGTAGTTCAATTCAAATCCAATAACAGTTGGGTGGAGTAGCTATAATTAAATTATATTTGACTTGGATATCAGAGCTGGGGCTGTACGTAGCATAGTCAAGCTTAAATGATTAGCAGAGTTGCTTTAAGAGGGCTTAACCAAGCTTCACTGAGGAATGGTAGCCTTTGTATGGAGACTATCAATTTTGGCTTTGGAGTAATTATAGTATCTGCCTAGACTCCATTGTCGTCTGTGTGGTAACTTGTCTGCCAGGTGCTCTTTCCCAATATTTGAAATACAGGGCTTCAGTTCATGATTAACTAGGACTTCTTAAAGACTAAATTGCTGAGAAATAACTCCTACCATTTGGTGTTCAGACCTGCACACAGCTGTTCTCTTTCTAGGGCAGGAGAGCAGAGAACTGATTACTAGTGTGTAAGATGCAAATTGAAGATCTGAAGAATGGAAAGACCTGGTGTGCTTCTCTAAGCTCAGCTTCTTGAAGCTCAGTCAAACAGCAGCTCTTTGTACTTGCTGGAAACATTAATACCAGTTTCCCTAGAATTTATCATTTGTTGAGAAACAGGAGATCCATGCAAAACTTGTGTATAAGCCTTGGCTTGTGTTGTGTTTGATGTTTACGTGTCTGACATCTCTTCCAGGAGATCCAGCCTCTTACCACAACAGTAGCGAAGCCGGGAGCATTGCCAGAAACTAAGCAGATTGGAGACTCTATTCGGATGATAGTCAGAGGAACTTTGGGAAGCTGCAGCAGTAGCAGTGAATGTAAGTGCAGCAAAATGTAATCTAATTCTAAACCCCACCTCTACTTTCCTTCATGTCTCAGACTTAGCAGCTTGAAATGGACAGCTGCTTTCCTCCTGCCCCCCTATTATGACATGCTAAATTTTAGAACCAATATTATGGAAGAATTAGAACTGGAAACCCATAAAGGCTGAAATTCTTAAAATTACAGTCTAGATAACTGAAAGATTTAGAATGAAAGTCTGCTGTCTGTATGCTCTTGTCAGTCTAATAGTCCTTCTCTTTCAGGCCTGGAAGATAGTACCATGGGAAGTGTTGCTGATACAGTTGCAAGGGTATTGCGCGGATGTCTGGAGAACATGCCAGAAGCGGACAGCATTCCCAAAGAACAGCTGACAACATCGTTCCAGTGGGTTACAAAATGGGTGGACTATTCTAACAAGTATGGCTTTGGATATCAGCTGTCAGATCACACTGTTGGTGTCCTTTTCAACAATGGGGCACATATGAGCCTTCTGCCAGACAAAAAGTAAGAATGCTTACATGACTGACAACTTGCTAAGGAGACTTAATCATTAAATGCTTTTATCTCTAACCTCCTTGCTTTATTTCTTCTTTTACAGGACAGTCCACTACTATGCTGAGCTAGGCCAGTGCTCTGTCTTCTCAGCCGCAGAGGCTCCTGAACAGTTCATTAGCCAAGTAACTGTGCTGAAGTATTTCTCTCACTACATGGAAGAGAACCTCATGGATGTAAGATCAGCACCTTCTGGATCTTGAACTGTAAAAACGCACTAAATGTGATCCAAATGCTTAACATAATTTCTGTTTCCTTCCCTAGGGAGGAGATTTGCCCAGCCTAACTGATGTACGCAGGCCCAGGCTTTATCTCTTACAGTGGCTTAAATCTGATAAAGCATTAATGATGCTCTTCAATGATGGCACGTTTCAAGTAAGTTTGATAGCATCACTGGATAAAATGTTTTTGGAATACTTTATTGCAATAAAACTAGATAAGTGCAATAAAACCAGAAACTGAGAGGAGAAAGTATGCAAACAAACTTGCTTCTCTTTTACAGGTGAACTTCTATCATGATCACACGAAAATTATCATTTGCAATCAGAGTGAGGAGTATCTCCTTACCTACATCAATGAAGAGAGGATATCCACAACGTTCCGTCTGACAACTCTTCTGGTTTCTGGATGCTCACTGGAACTAAAACACAGGATGGAATATGCTCTGAACATGCTGCTTCAGCGATGTAACTGAAGGGACTGACTCATTAAACCAAATGGACCTTCTTGTTCACTGTGAAATCTACAGTGGGGATATTGGAGCAACTAGTATGTTGATGATGGATGTGTGGTGGTACGAAAACTTGACTATCCTAGTGTGCTGGGCACACATCTATTAGACAGAAGCCTAAACCTACTGTTGGACTAAGATGGTGTGACAAGGAGTTTTTCGGACCATAGTTTTCCTTGCTTCGTGTTTGTTAAAGATATTTTTTGACTTGAACTCTGAGCAGAGTGTGACTGCTTGCTCTGTAGGAGAGCATTTCTGGTGGAGTTAAACTGTGAATATGCATCTGGAAAGGGAGGGACGGGGATATCCATTATTGTGGAATAGCTGTAATAAGCAGCTTCTGGCTGCTTAACTGTGAACTATGGCCATACTATCTTTTTTTTTCCCTTGTTTTTAAAAAAAAAAACCCCACACTTGTGGCTGGCAAAGTGCATTCCTTGGGTTTTTTTTTTTTCTTTTTTTTTTTTTTTTTTTTTTTATTACAGCCTAAAGTGAATTTTTATTACGCACCTTTTTTTTTTTTTTTTTTTTTTGACCTTGCCATTTTAAATAAAGAGAATGATGCTTCAGATTTCCATTCTCCACTCTTTTTTTACAACACAACTTACTCTGCTTTGCTTTTCATTACCAAAAATCTGCAGGTCTTCCTTCTTTATGCCATTTTTGAAAAGTCTGCTACAAGTCAGGATATGAATGGCAGGCTCTAACACAGCAGTCTGTCTGTGTCTATGCACACTTATAGTCACAAGCACCAATATGCTGCTGCTAATTATAGTAGCAACCCTAAACAAACTGCTGATGTAACCTATGGTGTAATGATGTAGTCCTTGACTCTTGGGTATTGTCCTAGGGTTTAAAAACAAAAGTATGGATCTTTTCAAGATGTTACATTCCAGAATTGATATTGATGTTTTACACTGACTGAATAGAATTCCTTGTTTCGGGATGGGACTTGGTGGACAGTAACTATGATAATGAGCTGTATAAGCTTCCTCCTCTTACTTGCCATGGAAGCACTGCTCTTACTCACATGGGGATTGAAGTATCCTGACACTTCAATGAAGAATGAATTGTCCATGCCTATCACTGCCCCCCTCTTGTGCTCTATTGTATGTGTCTTTCTACCCTTGATTAAATGGTAACCCCAGTAAAGTAAAATCAAAATTGTGAGAAGATTAAAGTCTGACTTTATATTAATTTGAGCTTATTCTACCAAGTTGCTAGTAACACTTATGGTCACCTAATGCTAAGACCAAATGCCATTTATGGTATTGCCATTAATCCTCCATAATGTAGTTGAAAATAGCTGAAGGCACAATAAGAATGGCCTGCTGCTTAGTGCAATTGCACTGCTACTAAATGTACAATTATTAGAGCACTTGCTTTTCTAAACTGAAGAAAATGCCATTTATCAGTTAAATAGATGCAATTATTGAGGACTCAACTCAGTGCGGGGTGGGGGGAGGAATGTCTACTTGTGGGCTGGGCTTATTTTCAGATATTATGTAGCACCTGAACCCACATAAACAGGGAAGTCTTCAAACAGCTGTTCTGATGCAGCAGCAAGGAGTAGTTCAATTGCTTATTTAGATTAATCTTTGTATAACTGAATTAGGTCTGTTCAGAAAGACAGACCTCGACTGCTATCAGTGTTTCAATCAAAGCAGCTGAATGCAAGGAGCGGGCAGTCAATAGAAATAAAGTGCAGACTAAACAAAGTACAGATGTCAACCCAAAATAGTGAGCAGAGGAGGTATCACTGGCTTGCTTCCTCTTGCAGCAAGTGTGTATAAATGTGATTGTTTTCCTTGTATTGAATACCATGCATTAGGTAATATTTATTTACTTCTCAAGTCTAGACAGGAAGACCTAATTGGGTTCTTCAGATAGATAGTTTCGTTAATGTAACTCTAGGCAGTTCTGTGAAGTTAAATATATACTTGCTATTGTGAGCAGAATTCAGCTTCCCAGCTGTCTACTTTCTTCAAGAGATAATGATTGATTTTATTCCTGGGGGGCCATGACTTACCTAATTCTCCTGCACGCACACAGCCACTGTTGAGCCTGTTTCTCTGACAAAGTAAGATCTCACTTTTTGTTTATGACACCAGTAAACATGCAGTTTATGTGCATTTGAAATAGAAAAATTACGAGTTACTATAGTACTTCTTCAAATGGAAAAACAGTCCTTTGACTGTCTATGTGCTGGGGAAAGTCTGAACCTTCAGCTGCTATAATTTCTTTGAGCATCAAAATCCCCTTTTGATGGCTGAAATTCTGGCTGGTGTAAGCAAATAAGCTGACTTCAAGTGTAGGATGTTTAACAGTGGATGTAAAGGCCCCAAATCCTGTTGTAGGATGCCAGTTGGTTGCGGACAGTTGTAATGCACCTCACGCAAATACAGTTAAGTTAGTCAGTTATTTGTATGCAATATGTATGTGGGAAACTAGGACGCTTGGTGCTTTCTAAATCTTGTATCTTTCTGGTTAGTGCTATGTACCCTAACCTCACTTTTTATTTTCATATTGCAAAATGAGAGAGGTGTTTAGATCAAGTTAATCTGAAATACCTATTTCAAAGTATGTTACCTTTGCCCTAGTTCCTCAGAGCAAGGAGGGAAAGCTGCTTTAAAATTCGTAATATAAGAACTTGCATCAGGAACAAAGGTTCTGAAATTCTTTCCCAGGGTGGATCCTGTCTTAAATAAGACACTGTAGTGCTCTAATTGACCTTCTTTACCCAATCACATAACATCCCTTTTGTAATTCTGCATATAGGAAGATTAATATTAGAAAAGTACTCGTCCACCCTATGTAACAAATGCCTTGCCTTCTCTTGCAAGAAAAATATATAGTCTGTATTTTATGCTTGTCAGGCAGTGATTCTAATCTTTTATGTTGAAAACAAGAGCAAACACAGCATAAGCATTTAGTTTGGGAGCATATGCACTTGAGTGAAAAAGTGGGGATTAAAGGATTAGGTGAAAGTTGGCACATAGGTTTCTCAGGTATTGCTGGTGGACATAGGAAATAATATTACCAAGAAAAAAAAAAACACTCCTGTACTCTTCAAAACATCTTTATCAAATCTTAAAATACATTTTTGCAAATATACATATGTACTTGAACAGCCCTAACCTGAACAGTGCGCTAACCTGCCAGTAGCAAACAAGTCAAGGAAACAATTCAAATAGGTTATGCTTCAATGTTAATGTAATGTATTACCCAGTGATGCCACTAGTCACTCAAGTGTTCTAGGGCATTCAGTAATCATTCCATTTCACTAAGTCACCTCAGGTACCACATATAAGAAAAAAAACTATCCAGAGTTAGGGTCATATTGTAACATGGAACACACTTTCTGTTATTGTCCAGGTTACTTGGGAAAATACAAGAAGATTCAATCACCTCAAAACTATTTAATTTCTGCTGAAAATATGTTGGAGAATGTTCTTTCAGCTGCCCATTAGTTATTGTAAATTTCCTGTCTGATTAGATGGATTTCAAGTGTAAATGTGAATTCTCAAAAAAGAAAAAAATTGTACGTTCTGATAGGTAATTATGAACCTCCAACTAGATGCATACCTAAGGAATCAACCAGAATCATGCACGACTTCGGTCTAGTTTATACTCTTTAAGCCTTACTAACATCAATAGTGGCAAACATATCATTAATCGAATTGCCACAACGTTAGACCAATACATGCAATTTAAGAGGTTAAACTCCATTTAAATGTACAGTATTGGAAACAAATATCATGGTTCACCAGTGTCTGGAAATTAGTATAGTAGAATGTGAAGATTTAGCCTCTGGGATTTATCCATGTAAATTATTTTCAGTATAGGAAAAAAAATTAATTTGAAAGATTCTGTCATACTGACATAGAATCGGGCTAAGTTTGAACCTGTTGCTCTTTTTTTCTACTGTGCAATCATGGGGAAAAACCTACATTTTACGTTGTCCATATCATGTAGATGTGATCTGAACAGAAGTAAGGTATTGTCTTCATTGACCTTTTTCTTCTCTTTATTGCTTACTATTAGAAGAAACACCTTGAATTGTGATGATGGAAACGTAAAAGAGTTAATAAAACCAATAGTACCTTACACAGAGGTGTTATTGATACTCAACTGGCCCATATAAGGAGTTCCTAAACACTTTTTAGTCAGAGATTAAAAAGCAGTAAGGTACTTTACAGGAGGATTCTGAGTGGAAGAACTGAATGAATTCCCCAGCACTTTTCCAGAGTGTAGTACTGTCTTGTTTTGTGGCAGGCCAGAAATGAAGATTGCTCACCCACTCCCAGTTAAGTTTCAAGTACTGATTTCACAGACACATGCATTAGAATCAAATTAATAGGCAAGCTCTAACAATTCACAGAATTTTGACATAGATGAAAATTTCTGCTCTTAAAAGTAGACTCCGTAATTTATAACTTATGGCGATAAGGTTTTTTTCTTCATTTGCTATAAATACAAATATTGAAAAGTTCTAAGGAGGTTTATGGGTTTGGATCAGCATTCTCTGGAGGACGGAAAGTGACAGGACTTTTGTAGTGGGATTCTGGCTCCAGTGGATGAAGACTACTGGTTCTAACTGGGAGAAAAAGGGGGAAGTATAGTGCATTATAAAGTAGACTGTAGCAGAGGAGGATAATGCCAGTGGAAGAAAGGAAGCAAGGTTATGCCATCAAAGCAAGCTTAATCTTCTAAGGAAAAAAGGCAATTTGCTTATCATCCTCAAGGCCAGCTTCTCATGCTTGCCATCACGTTAAGCTGCAGTAAAAAATGCATGAGAGGTACAGTAAGTGGATAGAACAGGAAAGGCTGGACTTTTTAGTACAGGGAATCTAAGGCAGCTGAGACAAGCTCATGGTAATTTAAATGCCTTTTATTATATATTAACACAGGCTTCAACAGTTGTGTATGATGTTTTACATAGAGAATGAAAAAAGCTAGCCTATGATTCCATGATTTTCAGATGTCCGGACCTCTGTTAGTCCTGAGCACCTATGGAAATGAAATTGGGTGGTCTCTGCTTACAGTCGAGGTTAGGTACCTCATAACAGGACACAGGGCATGATAATGTCAGGCAGGGGTTATGGAAAGGGGAATGTACACAGAGTGATTATAGGATTATTCAGTAGTAAATGATGCTGTTTCTGTCTCTCTAAGCATTTACGGTGAGTTTCTCAGCCTCACATCTGATC